CTTGTGAGTCATGGAAGAGGCAGTGGAAGAGTACTGGAGCCTCAGTTTCAGGATCTGTCCTTCCAGTGAGCACTCAGGGTTGATTCTAAAGGAAATCAACTCTGAGTGCTCACTGGAAGGACAGATCCTGAAGCTGAGGCTCCAATACTTTGCCCATCTTATGAGAAGAGAAGACTCCGTGGAAAAGACCCTGATGTTGGGAAAGTGTGAGGGCAAGAGGAGAAGGGAACGACAGAGGATGAGATAGTTGGATAGTGTCATCGAAGCGACCAACATGAATTTAACCCAACTCCGGGAGGCAGTGGAAGACAGGAGGGCCTGGCGTGCTCTGGTCCATGGGGTCACGAAGAGTCAGACACAACTAAACAACTACACAACAAAGTGATTTCTGGCTTCAGTAGAAGAAACACAGGTGCTGTATCTAGAAACAGTGCTTCCTCCAGTAGCAAAAAAGTGTAATTGTGAACACTCATTAAAAGAAGTGTGGGGTTTTTTTTGGAATTATCATTAGTATGTACACACAGTCTTCCTCTGAATGTCTAACTGCATAGGCATACATAACAAAGGAGATCATGCTGCTGGTGAAAAACATAAGGGCTGGAAAGATGCTATTTCAAATCATCATCATCATCTTTGAACTGCAGAGCTGGAAGGCACCCTGTGGATCATTGAGACCCACTAATATCAAGGAGGCACAGGGGGGAATTGAACTACCAACCTCTGGCTCCACAGCCAGATGTCTAAACCACTGAGCTATCTATTTTGATCCTAAGAGACAACAATCCCCCATTTGACTTTCATTTCTATAATCAACTCACTAAGAGCCAGACCAGGTGACTTCTGTCCCTTGATTTGGCTCACTGCCTACCAGGCAATGCTTCACCTAACAGATGTCCAAATATCACTACAAGTAGAAAATCGGCAGGAAGGGGCTATGCATATAGGTCAGAACCAGAGTTTGGGGATGTTCCTTGCCAGCTACAGCATTTCCAGGCATTGTGGATGTTTCAGAAACTAATTGGAAAGTTTTGTCACCCTATGGACAAGCAGGAACTATGAAACTGAGAAAGACTCAGCCCGCTCCCTGCCAGACCGGGGGGAAAAAACTCTAGCAAGCCAGGTATTTCGGACTACTGTACAGTTCTCATTCATCTCAGCCAGCATCCCCATTAATGAAGGATCAACGGTGTTGGGAATTGCAGTCAAAAATATCTCAACTATATCCGGTTGAGAAAATATCTGGTTGAGAAGGACTGCCTTAGCCACTATCTGAGGTTCTGCCACCTGATAGCTAGCAATGGCAGTCTCTTATAAGGAGCTGTTGTAAAGATTACAGCAAAATAGTATCTGAGAAATTTTTTCAACATTTGAAAGCCCTGTCTAATCAAATTGAAGGCAATTCTATGCACATTGACCAGAGAATAAGCCTCATTGAACACACTGGGGTGTATGATGGGAAATGCATATCCCATGCTAGGGTTATTGGTGTCAGCTCCGTGGTAAGTGGCTTCTGATAAGTTGCATGCATCTAAAACTGGATTGGGACCTTTGTATTTATATGAAATGCCATGTATTTTCTGCCTAATAATAAAGATTCCTCCCAAGAAAACCAGGTTTCCAGATATACTACTGTGCCTTTAAATTAAGGGTCAACTCTTCAAGTGCTCATTTAATCTGGGCATGGGGAGATTCCATTTATTTTCTTCAGGTTTGAAACCAAGAAAAAGAGCCTTTTAATAAACAGTCCTCTTCCCTTAAAATGATATTTTATCTCATGTTGTGCTTGCCTTTCTGGTTCTAACTGGGAATATTAATCTCTACGTTAACAACGGTGTCTCCATTCTGAATTTCTTATTGTTTAGCCATAACTGCCTTTGTCCTTTCTCTGTGTCTGATTAGAATTTTTATAACTGGGGGAAAAAAAACAATCATGCTGAAGCCTTGAATCTCTGTGTTGAGGGGTAATTTTAGTAAGCTTAATTGCTCTAATCACACACTTCAGGGTATTTGGAGAAGTGTTATAAAGCAAGAATGTAGAACTTCATTTATCCAAACAGCCCAGGGAACATCAAAAGCAGTCTGAAAAAGAACGAGTCCAGCTATAATAGTGAACTAATAGCAAGACTTGTTTTTGACACAGGGTCACTGAGGTGAGGGCCATACTGACCTTACCATGATACCCTGGGAAGCAGTCCAGAGTTGTCAAGTACTGCAGGAAGAAGATTGGGAGACTAATAGGTCTTCTGGTTGTTGTGGGTTTTTCGGGCTCTTTGGCCGTGTTCTGAAGGTTGTTCTTTCTGACGTTTCACCAGACTCTGTGGCCAGCATCTTCAGAGGACTGGAGTAGGAACTCTGTCCATGCTCTGTATCCAACAAACACCAACATAGCATGGACTGCCCCCCCCCCCCCCGAGCCCCCCCAGCCACAGAGACTGGCGAAACATCAGGAAGAACAACCATCAGAACACAGTCAAAGAGCCCGAAAAACCCACAACAACCATTAGATCCCGGCCGTGAAAGCCTTCGCGAATACATTAATAGGTCTTCTACTTCTTTGGTCACCTAGTTCACTTTTGTAGCTTGTTCCTGACCAAATGGCATATATTTGGTCATCATATATAAATATATACCACATATATATATATATAGTATATACCAATATATGCCATATTTATTTTTATTTATTTAACTTATATGCCGCCCACACTACCCGAAGGTCTCTGGGCAGCTTACAACATTTAAAATACAATAAAAAGGAAAAATAAAAGGGCAAAATAATTAAAATGCAATTAAAAATATATACTCTAAAAATTGCCATCAGACCCACAGCTGATATTATTTCAATTAAAAGCCTTCTGGAACAGGAAAATTTTAACCTGGCACTGAAATGTCATCAGCGTTGGTGCCAGACGAATCTCAGTTGGGAGGGCATTCCATAGTCTGGGGGCAGCTGCTGAAAAGGCCCTTTCTCTACAAACCCTTCCTCTTATCTCCTTAAGGGACGGCTCTTTCAAAAGGGCCCCCTGGTTAGATCTTAACTGCCGGGTCGATTCCAAGCCGTTTAGGGCTTTACATGTCAAAACAAGCACTTTGAATTGGGCTCGGGCAGCAACTGGTAGCCAATGTAACTTAAACTTAATGGCATATATTTGGCCATATACATATGCCATTTGGTATATATATCAAATAGCTCCGATTTGTTTCCCCAATATGCGCTGGCTGGAAAGATCAGTGATTTAGATATCTGGCTGTAAAGCTGGAGATTAGGAGTTCATTTCTCCAGTGTGCCTTCTGCAAATAGAGCCATTCTTTGTGACCTTGGGCACTCTGCATAGTCCCAGGGCCCGCCCAGGAAAAGTAAATGGTAAACCACTTCTGAGTATTCTCTGGCTGGAAAAGCCTTAAGTCAGAATAGACATGATGGTACATTATCATCATCAGTATCGTTTGTGAATCCAAACCCACTTCTTCAGAAACACCACAAGTGGATTTTGATCTATGGAAGCTTGCACTGAAACAAATCTGTCAGCCCCTAAAGGGCCATAATATTTTGTCTTTCTTTTTTGTTCTTGATCTCTCTCTCCCCCACCGCACTTTAATTTTGCCAGACTAAAACAGCTACTTCTTTGGAAACTGTGCTATTTATTTACATCCATGAATCTTTTACATTGATTATTTTGTCCCATACTTTTGCTATTTAGCAGAAAGGATTAAAAAGGTTAAATGTTAAACCATTCATGCTTAAAATCAGGACCAGATGTGATCTACTGCTCAGTGAAGCATCTCACCCCAAAACCCCGCAAACAAGGATTGAGAGGCAACCACTCTTCAGAATGCTCAACTTGGGGACCCTGCCATATTGAGGACCTGATGCATTTCAACTAGTCTACTTTCCAGTTCCAACATCATAGTAGTTACCTCTAGAATATCAGCAGCAGAGATGGTAACGAGACAAACTGAAATGCAGATGAGAAGAACTGATACGTAATAGAAATATATTCTCCCGATTCGTCCTTCTTGGTGAGCATAAAAATCCCCCCACACCCCCATAAGTGGTCAGAGTGAAGAGGAAGCAGCAAAAACAGCATAAAGATTATAAACTATATACATTCTATTGTCCAGGATGCTTCCTGAGTATCATGAACAGTTTCTCCTTTACCTTTAAAGTGTTTCAGTGAGTAAGCATGAACTGATCTGCCATGTATAATCCACAGGCTACAAACTTCTTCCCCAATGACTCTATATGATATGTCACATCATATCATAATTAAGGGACACCACCACTTTGACTCTCAGTAACCTGTCCTGCTTGCAGTGGGAAGTACCTGTTGCATTATGTGAATGCATCAGGCCAATGAAGCAAGCAGTGCTAGATCAGTGGCTGGTCTGTCTATCATGTTCCCCTGCATCCACTAGTTAAGTAAATGTGCATGTGTGGGGTTGTGCTGTTGGCAGTGTGACAAAGGGTGAGATGAAGAAGAAAAAGTTAAGTGACAGACAGTTCATGAGCTCCACCTTCCTTCCTGGACCCACTCATGCTTAAAATCAAAATTACTTGTATGACTGCCCTTACAGACTTTTCTGCCCAATAGGATTTTAGCCAAAATATATTCCCAGAATTCCTTTTTAAAAACTGATTGAATCCGTATACAGTGGTGCCTTGCAAGACGATTGCCTCGTGGGACGATTAATCTGCAAGACGATTAGTTTTTGCAATCGTGGTTGCGCTTCGCAAGATGATAGTTTCCTATGGACGATTTTCGCAAGATGACGATTTTTCCCCATTGGAATGCATTAAATAGATTTAAATGCATTCTAATGGGGAACCGCATTCTGCAAGACGATGTTTTCTATGGACAATTTTCGCAAGACAGTGATTTTTCCATTGGAACACATTAAATAGATTTCAATGCATTCCAATGGGGAACCGCATTTCACAAGACAATGTTTTCGCAAGAGAGCGATTTTCATGGAACGAATTAACATCGTCTCGTGGGGCACCACTGTACTGCCATTCCATCCCAAAAGACACTCATGGGGGTTCCTCTCTTCTTTTCACACTGTAGCTTAGACATATGAGAACAGAACTTTGAGAGCTTTGGCCCCATTGTGAAGAACAAGCTATATGAGAAAGGGGTGAAGGAACAGGTTATGCTCCGCCTGGAATACAACATACCTGAATATCTCTGAAAGAGTATCATATAAAAGAGACCAAATATGGTTTCCTTGCTCGTCCCAGGGGAAGAAGTTTAAATACACTTGAACAGTAGAGTTTTTTTCCCCTAAAAAATTGAGTTGGAGATCCTTCCTATTTTGCATTATTAATTGGCCAAAAATGTTTGCGAACATAACTGTTTTTTTTGGGGGGGGGGAGTTGCTCTGCTTTTTTGACCCTACCTCCTTCTTATTGGTATAATATTTATGGTCTTGTAGATCTTGGCTCCTCCGCGACGAGTGTCTGCCTGATTTGCAGCACAGGTGCTGTGTAGGTGGGTGCTATGTGGGTTTCCCCTGATCTGCCAGGATGCCTGAACTGTGCTATCTAAGCACCAGGCTCTGGCAGTCCTGCCTATCCTTGCAGCCAAGGCTGACAATCTGTGCCAACTTGTGGAAGCAGTTGGGGGTTATTAAACCTTTTCTAAACTTGTCGGATTGTATAAATAGCACAAATCTGTGCCTCAAGAGGAAAAATAAAAGGAATAAATGTTTTTAACAGGCAAAGAGACCTAGAAAGATCAAGATACCATGGGACAGCTTCATCTCTTGCCACTGCCTTTAAAGGGAAAAACATGGGTAATGGTAAACCAAGAGTTAGCCAATCTCATGGGTCTGGGAGCCAGTTTTACTGATTAAGAACACTCAACAAGCCAAACCACCTTTAAAGGTGTCTTGCCTCCTCAAGTCTTCCCCTTCCAAATCTAGAATCGTAGAATCTCAAAAACTGCATGGTACCCCCAATGATAACCAGCCTCTTTCCTATGCAGGAAAATTATGCCCAAAACATCCCTGACTGATAGCCATCCACAACTGTTTCAAAAACCTCCCACAAAGGAGAGTCTACCACCTTTTCAGAGAGCCAGTTCTCCCAATGAACTGCTCTGTTATCCCAGTGTTTAGTGGGAAGCTCCTGCCTTTTCACGTGAAACCATTGATATGGGCCCGGCCCCCTGGAACAGCAGGAAACAAGCTTGTTCCATCTGCCATGTGACAGGCCTTCAAATATTTCAAGATGGCTATCGTGTCAATTGTCTCTTCTTCAAACTGAACTTGAAAACTCGTTTGTTTTGTTTTGCTTTTGAGGGAGGGGGATTAGAAAAGTCCTTCTTTTCATTCAAGCAGTACCTTGACCTAGAGTAGAACTGGCAATTCATCCTTTTAAGCATGGAATATGATTCAAGTCAAGGAGGAAGGGGTAGGGGGCAGGTTGTGCTACACGGTTCCCACACTACAGTGAAAGGACAGCAGATGTTCATAACTGCTTTTCAGGTTCTCTGTAGTGATCACGGGGAAACAGTCACAAAAATTCTTCATCCTCATTGGTTTTGGCTGTCACAACTTGATGAGACATCTTGAAGAGGAATTTGACAGGCTCGTGAGATTCCTCGCTTCCTGCCAAGAGAGAGACAAAAGCCTGTTATTTTCTTTGTCTAAGCTCTGTATTTTGTTCAGAATCTTTATCCTTTGAAAAAAAAAATCAAGCATACACAGTAAGCACCAGAAGGACTGGTTGGTTGTCGGAAAGACACAGACATCCCCATTCCGGGCTCTTATGTGACAAATGTCGCTAAAACTGTTGAGTACTCCCTCAAGTATTGTGCAATTAATTTGCACAAATTTCTGGCTTTGGTCAGGGGAAAACAACAACAACTTGCAATCGCAAAGATGAAACAAATGCAGCAGGAAGTCTTGGCCAGTCCTCATGGACAAGGAGAAGTATGTGGTGAAGCTCCATGTTACATGCCCAGGAAAATTTCTGAAGAGAGAAGTGCAAGCTGCCAGACTGAGCTTTTGCTGTGTGAGTAGATGGCAACAGTAGAGCAAGGTTTGAGGTGCAGCAGTGTTGCAAATAAGGTGTTACTCATAATCAACTCCTTTTAAACATGGCCAAGGTATAACTGAGTTACACAATGATTATATAACCTAATAAGGGATAACTTATGCATTATTTATTTCAGTTTTTTATTACAATTTTATCCTGGCTTTCGATTTTTTTAAAAGAGCTCAGGACAGTCAACAAACTTCATTAAAAACAAATTAAACAATAAAATGATTTAAATTGTTCCAATGACCAGTGAGGATCAGAACAGTTTAAAAAGAACGGTAAACCACTTCTGAGTACTTTTTCAAAGTCTTTTCCAGAGTTTTCTAGGTATTGAGTACTCAGAAGTGGATTACCATTCCCTTCCTCTGGGGGTGCCCTGAGATGGCACCATTTGCCTAAGGCCACACAGACTGGCTCTTCTCCTGGGAAGTACAGTAGGGTATCAAATTCTCAGTCCCTGGCTCTGCAGCCAGATAGCTACCTCACCAAACTACCTGGACAGCTTTTTGGAGTATAATTCTCAGATTTGCTAGGCCACATGATTTGTGACCCTATCAGTTCGGGAATTCTGGAAACTAGCATAAAAACATGTCCAACTGTTGGTGTAGGGGCTTTTCCCCACTGTTTCCAACGGTTCCTTACCACACCCTCAAAAGGTGTCTGTTTGCCCAAATAGTCTTTATAAATGAAATTGGGTTTCCCCCCATAATATTCGCTCACTTTTTAGCATGTATAATTTTTAGCATGTATACATTGCTGAAACAGCGACGTCTACGTTGGCTTGGGTATGCTGTTAGAATGGCTGATGGTCAGATTCCAAAAGATCTCCTGTATGGAGAATTAGTGCAGGGAAAGGGACCCAGAGGGAGACCACAGCTGTGATACAAGGATATCTGCAAGCGGGATCTGAAGGCCTTAGGAATGGACCTAAACAGATGGGAAACCTTGACATCTGAGTGTTCAGCCTGGAGGCAGGTGGTGCACCATGGCCTCTCCCAATCTGAAGAGACCCTTGTCGAGCAGGCTGAGGCAAAGAGGCAGTCCCGAAACCAGCAAAACCAGGGAGCTGGCCAGGGAACAGATTGTATTTGTCTTCAGTGGGGAAAGGATTGTCAATCTTGAATTGGCCTTCTCAGCCACACTAGATGCTGTTCCAAGTCCTCCATAGAGAGCACGTTACTATAGTCCCTCAAGACTGAACGATGCCTACTACTATTCACTCACTTAATTTGCCAGTGTCCCATTCTATAGCCTAGCTTCTCTCCCCACTCCCACTTTCCCAACAAGCCCAAAATGTTCTTTAAAACAAGATCTGATTTTGCCAAATGACAATAAGTACTAGTAAAGCAAAGCTTGAGTCTGAACTTTCTTTCAAGTTTTCATCCCTTCCTCCTGCCTCAAATCCTCCCAGCTATTTTCTTGCCCATCCAACCCTTCTCTCCCCTTCAGCAGTGACATGCCAGGGTCGTCTCTCAGGAGTTTTAAAAAAAACCACACTAGGTATCTATTTGCCTGTGTTTATTTTTAAGCAGCGCTCAACATGTTTATAGATAGAAACAACGGGACAAGCCATAATTAAATCCTTGTTTCTGCTAGATTTGTTATTGAGCAACTGAAGAAAAATAATTTGCTCATACCAAACAGAGAATGGTCAAGGAAGCTAAGTTTGCACCCGTTATTACCATAAAAAATATTAGTTGCTTAGTTACCAATCATAAAAGGAGGCCAACTTTTAAAAAAATGCAGGACTCTTAACAAAACAGTGTAGGATATAGACGTGGAAACTTAAAAGCTGTCAGGTGGTTAGTGGAAAGAATACTGAAGAATGATTGACAAAGTGGGCTTTACAACAGCTTCAAATTTGGCTTTGATTCAATACATGATTGACATTCTGATATCTTCTGAAAAAGTGGATTATGCTTTGGAGAGGTTATTTAGCAAGTCAGTGATTGACAGTTTACTAAAACTGTCCCATGGACAGAGGTAACTAAACAGAGCTGTATTTTGACAGGTAAATTTCTTTAATCTTCATTTTGCCATACCCCTTTTCTTCCTATAAGCAGATACTCTGAAGTGACAGTCACGTACCACATAGATGTCTCTTTCTTTCATAAAGTTTCTCTTTTTAAAAAACCTAAATGATGTGCTTACAGGGAATAAACCCCAAAATATTGTTTCTGTTTCTTAACACAGGATTGGTTTAAGGAGCCAGCTTGTTCTAGGTGTCCCAAAAAAGCCCGCCAATTCTCTCACAAAGAAATTATTATGAGCATCACTTGTCAATGACTTTGAAAGAGGAGAAAGATGTCGTGCAGAAGAAACAAACAGGAGACATCAGTTTGGTGGAGGTGGCAAAAGTTCAGCTTACTTATCGGAAGCAGGTGTAATCAAAGGAAGCAGGGTCTGGCATTGGAGTGAAAGCTTTCATTTCAGAGTTTTTTGTTCCAGTGAGTCTGTAAAGAAGGTACAGTACATGAATGAAGGTGATAGCAGAGGCACCAATATCCCCACAGACATCAGTTGGGTGGTCAAGTCTCCTCCAGGATTTGTAAACTCCGGAAGGTGTGAAAAGCAGTTTTCCCTGCAAAATGGCTGAAGTAGCTTTATAGTTTGGTATAAATGGCAACATCAAAGCTTCCAGCGTGATGACTGCAATAATGAAGAAATGTGGGGAGCAACACTAGGACAAGTCTTCCGCCACAATGGCATGGCCACAAGGGCATTGCCATAAATAAGTCCCTCAAAATTGTGCCACAGTCAGTTTCAAGTGCTTGTCCAGAGAAACCACTCTATTGCTTGAAACAATATGGCCCAGCTATCTTTGCTTCATAAAAGCCCAGCCACATACCTTGCCTCCAATGAACAGAAAAGGTCATGTTATTTTCAGGAATCAACAGAGTTTGACAGTTACATTTTAGCAGTAATCAGTTACCAGTAGAGTCCAAAGGCCCCCAAACTAATTAGTAATGTAGTTAACATTTTAATACGTAAGGCTTTATTAAAATAAAGTGGTTACCATTTTAATTACTTACTCTTGAAGAAAAGCATTTGCATGCTCTAAACAACCGCCTCATGGTTATTTTTATTCTTTTAATTGCATTTTAATTGTTTTGTCTTTTTATGTATTTTAATTGTTGTAAGCTGCCCAGAGAACTTTGGTTAGTGTGGGCGGCATATAAGTTAAACAAATAAAACCAACCAACCAACCAACCAACCAACCAAAGAATGAATAAATGGTATGAAATGTAATATGTTCCCAATCCACCTCACCATCACCAAGCAGCCTTGAGTCCTTTTAAGGAGAAATGTGGGGTAAAATATTATAAATAAATAAACAAAACAAACATAGGGAAAGCTGGTTGAACATAAACACAATTAATATGGATATATAAAGCCTGGATGCCTCTGTCTGATGAGCTTCAGCATGGGCCTAGATCTCAAGATGTTATGCATCTACTGATTCCAAGGGGTCACCCAAGGTCATGGGGTTTTAATATTATTAGCTGCCCATATTGCCCTACATTGCAGTGCTATAAGACTAAATGAAAAAGTTCACTGCTTCAGATTTTTCAACAGTTCTTTATGGTGGCTAAACACTGTTCATAAAAAAATCCTATGTCCTTTCTTGAGCGGGTACTGGATCTCTCTTCACATCCCTGCGAGTGGACTCCAAAAAAGAAAAAAAAAAGCTGTGTTACATTTCAATTAAAATGCCATGAAACGTATTTGCTTCTTCTAGCTGGGTTTGATATTTCAGTTAAGCTTGCTCTGTGCTGTTTACTCGACAAGCACTTGTGGTATGTGTAAACTACATTTGTCCATTTATCTTGCCTTGACATTTAAGGAAGGAAAACGAAATGGGCAAAACCCTTCATGCCTCAGCAAGTGATATGGTTTTGTGTGAGTGGCAATGTCAAGATTTCAGGTTCTTCAAGCATGTGTGAGCTTTTTTTTTTCACTCTCAAAAATAATCACAGGGCATCTTGATTTTCAGTAGGCACTCGTCTGTTCCATCCTCCTTATATCCACCCCCCCACAAAAAGTAATATGAATAAATCAATTATGAATATACTTACCTTCTATGTCTTGTTTCTTTCATGACTTCTTTTTTTTTTAAGAGAGTGGGTAAGATTTCTTAAGCCTCCAGCAGCATAATTTTTTGCTTTTTTTCTTCATTATTGCACAGTGCCAAGTGTGGGGCAGTTGAATAACAACAGCAACAACAGTAATAATATTTTTGTTTCCTTTATTAGTATCAGAGGATTGCAGAATTGGAAATTATGGACACATATAAAATATAGGGGGGGGGGAATTGAAAATTAAAATGTTAAGATAATTAGACTATTTTTGACCAGAAGATGACTAGTTTGAAAGCATTATCTTGGCTATTTGCTATATCTTCTCTGCTATACATGGTGGGGTATTAACTGCATTGAACAAATTTCTCCACAGTCACAGAAAATTTGTCCTGTCTCCAAGTTAGCCTCATTTTACTTGATTATTCTTTTGATATTCCTACTTTGCTTCAAAGTCTATTAAGTGACTTCCAGATGGTCCGGCTAGAGTC